AAAGCAGTTCTGAAAATCAAGTAAAGTAATGGACCTGAACATTCTATAAATCATTGAAGGTAGAACTACAATAAAAGGAAGGACTTGGATCTGTGTTCCAATTCTTTAATAATTACCTTCTTGGGCTGGGAAGGTGGCTCAGTGGTAGAGTGCTTGCCTTGCATGTATGAGGCCCTGGGTTCAATTCCTCAGCACCACATAAGCAGAAAAAAGCTGGAAGTGATTCTGTGGCTCAAGTGGTAGAGCGCTAGCCTTGAGCTGAAGAGCTGAGGGACAGCGCCCAGGCCCAGAGTTCAGGGCCATGACCAACAACAACAACAAAATAATAATAATTACCTTCTTGGGTGAGATATTCTATTGTCTTTGAATGGAGTGTCTAAAGAGGAAGGTCTCTTATTTTTGAGGAAAGCATGAGGATGTGGCAGAAGATAATAGGTTCTAACCCAGCTACTACCACCATAGCCTGTGACTTAGGCAAACAATTACTTCTCTGAGTCTCAGTTCTTTTCTTTTCTTCCTTCCTTCTTCCTCCCTCCCTCCCTGCCCCCCCCCCCTCTATTTCTTTCTTTCTTTCTTTTCCTGGTCGTGGGGCTTGAACTCTGGGCCTGGGTGCTGTCTCTCAGCTCTTCAGCTTAAGGTGAGCACTCTACCACTTGAGCCACAGCACCACTTCCAGTTTTCTGGTGGTTTATTGGAGATAAGAGTTTCACAGACTTTCCTGCCCAGGCTGGCTTTGAACAGCAATCCTCATATCTCAGCCTCCTGAGTAGCTAGGATTATAGGTATGAGCCACTGGTGCCTGGCAAACCCAATTTTTTTTTTTTATAAAATTGGTACTCTTTTTTTTTTTTTTAAACGCAGGGCATGGGCACTGTCCCTGAGCTGCTTTTGCTCTAGGGATACTCTACCACTTGAGCCACAGCTCTACTTCCAGCTCTTTCTGTTTATGTGGTACTGAGGAATTGAACCCAGGGCTTCATGTATGCTAGGCAAGCATTCTACCACTAAGCCATATTCCCAGCCCAAAATGAGAGCTCTTGTCCCACTAACAATACACAGTGACTCTTACAGTCACTCTGCCAACTCCCTGGAATGTCATGGTGCCTCCAAGAACAAGTGGAGACAGGAAATAGGTCAGGCTCTCCAAGGGCACATCCCATCTTCAGGGATCCCTGTGGCCTAGAACAGGGAGAGAGAGCAAGAGAGCATAGGCTCCAAAAATATCACTGTGGGAGCATTAAAGAAGAGATCACACATCCTGTGATCCCTCCTGCTTTATTTGTTTTCCAAGAACCCATAGTGGAACATTGACTCTTCCTTGTAGAGGCCAAATCTTTTAAATACCACCCTATAGTTAGTCCTCTTTGCAACAGCCATTTCTGCCTCTGAGGAATGCCGAGCTGTTCCTTTTCCTGTCTTAGTACCTTAAAGACCAAAGTCAAACCTTGTTTTTCTCCTGCTATTGATTGTTTTCTTAGCCTCTTGAGCTAATTTTACAGCCCTATTTCTATCTCTCTGTTCTTGGCTGGGTTTGGAATACCTTAGAACGCTTTTTGATAACTACCTGATTAGGCAAGGGATTTATTATTCTCTTTCAGCAATCTTAGCAACCTGTCTCTAGTTCTCTTTCCCAATACCTGGTGGCTTTGGGCAACAGTAGGACAGCATTGTTCTGAAAGGTGAAATCATTTGACAAAGTGAACATGTCCTGAGTCCTAGGCTACTAAAAGTGAATCTTTCAGTCTCTCCTAAGCCAATAGATCATGCAAAGCATAAGGAAACTAGTTGAGGAGAGGAAAGGTGAAAGGCGTGCTCTCATTCTTATCATGGGACTTTACATCAACAAAATGTCTTTAAGAACTTCGGCCAGGCACTGGTGGTTCATGCCTGTAATCCTAGTTATCTTGGAGACTCAGGTGTGAGGATCGAGATTTGAAGCTGACTCAGGCAGAAAAGTCCATTCGACTCTTATCTTCAGTTAAGCAGCAAAAAGCTGGAAGTGAAGGTTGTGGCTCAAGTAGTAGAACACTAGCCTTGAGTGAAAAAGCCAAGCGTGAGGCCCTGAGTTTAAGTCCCAGCACAGGCACAAAAGTGGAAGAAATGAAAATGGTTATATTTTAGGCCTAGGTGCCTGTCCCTGGGTTAAATATTGAATTGTGGTTTAGAAATGAGTTTCACATAGCTGGGCATTGGTGGCTCACACCTGTAATCCTAGCTACTCAGGAGGCTGAGATCTGAGGATCTCGGTTCAAAGCCAGCCTGGGCAGGAAGGTCCATGAGACTCTTATCTTCAATAAACCACTAGAAAAACTTGGAAGTGGCACTGTGGCTCAAGTGGTAGAGCACTAACCTTGAGCTGAAGAGCTGAGGACAGCGCCCAGGCCCAGAGTTCAAGCCCCACAACCACCACCACCACCAACAACAACAAAAGAAAATGAGTTTCACGACTGGATTGAGGTTGAGTTCTAGTTCAAACCTGAAGGCCAATTTAGGGAAGTTGAAGATAGAACTTTCTACTCTCTATCTCACTGATTCCAAACCACTGAAGAGATTTGGTGGGCACATGAGAAACGAAACACTGTTAAGCCCAGCTCTGCATTTCCACCTGGATTTAAACTAGTCTCTGCTTCTCCCCATTGGCATTTATGGTACTGTTGGGCTGGGCATGGAAAGAGTTATCAAAGCATCAAAGCATCCATCCATTGGATGTGGTTAGCGTTTATTATTTTTTTGGTTGGTCATGGGGCTTGAACTCTGGGCCTGAGCACTGTCCCTCAACTCTTCAGCTCCAAGGCTAACGCTCTACCACTTGAGACACAGGGCCACTTCCGGGTTTTCTAGTGGTTTATTGGAGATAAGAGTCTCACGGACTTTCCTGCCCAGGCTGGCTTTGAACCTCAATCCTCAGATCTCAGCCTCCTGAGTAGCTAGGATTACAGGCATGAGCCAACGGTGCTCAGCTAGTGGTTAACATATTTAGTCATAGAAATGAACAAAGGAAAACTTGGAAAGAATTGTGCTATGAATTGCCCCCGGTCTTTTCCTTTTCTCTTATTCAACACACACAATTCCAGGAACCATCCATTGCATGCTTGCTGTTAGCCTCAACTCTTAAGAGAAGACCAGTGTTATGCATATAAGAACAGAGGTGGATGGGTGAAAAAAAGCACTGGATTAAGCATCAGGAGGCTGATTTTGAAATCCAGTTTTACCCATCAGTAGCTATGGAATTTGGAGAAAGCCACTTAACTTAGACTCTGTCTAAGTCTCTTAGTTGTTATTATTATTATTATTATTTTTTTTGGTCTGGTCGTGAGGCCTGAACTCTGGGCCTGGGCACTGTCCCTCAGCTCTTCAGCTCAAGGCTAGTGCTTTACCACTTGAGCCACAGCGCCACTTCCAGCTTTTTTCTTTTTGCTTATGTAGTGCTGAGGAATCAAACCCAGGGCCTCAGGCATGCAAGGCAAGCGCTCTACCACTGAGCCACCTTCCCAGCCCTTAGTTGTTATTTTTTTAAACAAAAACAAAACCAGACAAATACTTGCCTTTCCTCCTCATTCTGAATTCTGAAAAGTTGTGTAAGGACCACATGAAACTATGGGCAGGGGGATGACCTTTGGAAGAGTCGTGCTCGTGTTTTGCACATATGCTCTACTATAAACCATTCCCAGACTACCAGGAAGACTTTTATAGGGTTGTTTCATGTTCTTCTTCTAGGGTGGGGCTATTGTATCTGGAGGAGAAACCAGTCTCCAAGGATTCTGTCTGCATTCAAACGTGTTTTGTTCTGTTCTGTTTTATTAAGACAGGGTTTCATTATATAGCCCAAGCTGGCCCTAGATCCATGATCCTCATACCTCTGAGTCTCTATTGTTGGAATTACATACATGAACCACCATACGGGGTCCATATACATTGGTCTTGAAAACTCTTAGTTGCTCAGCATGGCCCCAATCTGTCCAAAAGATTTTGCCCTTTGGCTAAATTGTGGGGTGGGGAGAGCAGGGGGAGGGGGAGCAGAGGGGCACACATGTGCCAATCCTGGGTCTTGAACTCAGGACCTGAGATCTGTCCCTGAGCTTCATTTGCTCAAGGTTAGTGCTCTACCACTTGAGCCACAACTCTACTTCTGGCTTAGTTTTAGTGCTAAAATGGAGATAAGAGTCTCACAGACTTTTCTGCCCAAGCTGGCTTTGAACCTCGATCCTCAGATCTCAGCCTCATGAGTGGCTAGGATTACAGGCATGAGCCACCAATGCCTGGCCCAGCCTTTTGGCTAACTTTTGAAGCTTTTAGTTGGCAGATGGTCTCTAAAAGTAGCTCATTTCTCCAGTCTTGCATTTTAAATCCAGTCCAAAAACTATTATCATATATAGCACAGTTAGTGTCCTGAGATTGGATGTTCACTCCATTACTTATTATATATAGCCTTAGGTAGCTCATTTGGCATCTGAGACTTGTTCTCATCTGTAAAATGTAAGCAATGTTATCTTGAGTCCAAGGAGTTGTTTTGAGAATTCAGGAGACTTACAAAGTACTGACCATGTTCTTAGTCAATACATGTCCTTTTTTTTTTTTTTTTTTCCAATCCTGGGGCTGTCCTCTGCTCTTCAGCTCAAGGCTAGAGCTCTACCACTTGAGCCACTTCCAGCTTTTTCTGTTTATGTGGTACAAGGAATTGAACCCAGGGCCTCATGCATGCAAGGCAAGCACTCTACCACTGAGCCCCTACACGTACATTTTTTGCTTCTCTTTCCCCTACTCTAGGGAGAATAACTTCTAAACACACCTACCTAATGATCATTCATGCATCTCCAAGGTACTTCAGAATCAGATCAGAGAAGAGAGCCTGGGGGAAATAGTGCTAGACACAACTGCCGTTTATACATCTCAGTGACATTTTAGAATCAGATCAGGGATACTATCTCCCTGCCAAAGCCAATTGTGCCAGTTGTCCTGACCTAACTCTCTCCCTTCCTTCCCCTTGTTGTCTTACACAGGGAACATTATCGGCTCTGGGATCTTTGTCTCACCCAAGGGTGTGCTGGAGAATGCTGGCTCTGTGGGCCTTGCTCTCATTGTCTGGATTGTGACGGGCATCATCACAGCTGTGGGAGCCCTCTGCTACGCTGAGCTAGGGGTCACGATCCCTAAATCAGGAGGTGACTACTCCTATGTCAAGGACATCTTCGGAGGATTGGCTGGGTAAGCAAATTTGTGGAGGCCTCAGTGAACTAGAGGAAAAGGAGAAAGGTGTGTAGAAAGATGCCAGTTGAAGGAACCAATGTCAGGGGTTTCTAGTCACCAGTGTGCTGAGAAGGGCAAGGGAAAGGATTGTTCTTTGGCCTCTCTGTCATGGTCACTAAGTAGCCTATGTCTTCTTTACACTCCTGAGTGTGACAGAAATTCAGGTGTAATTTTATGTGTGGGGACCCATACTGGGGCTTGAACTCAGAACTTGGGTGATGCCCATTAGCTTTTTCACTCAAGGCTAACATACTCCCACTTGAGCCACAGCTCTACTTCTGGCTTTTTGCTGCTTAATTGAAGATAACAGTTTCATAGATTTTCTGCTAGGACTGATTTTGAGCTTTAATTCTCAGATCTGAGGATTACAGGCATGAGTCACCAGTACCTTGTCAATGACTTCCTTCTGTCAACCTAGGGGTCTTAAATTGCCTTGGCTTCTCTAACTTTACTAAGGAGCTCAGCCCTCACCAGTGGGCCAAAGAGTATAGAGGACACTTGCCCCACTAATCTCAACTAGATCCATTCCCTGCTCTAGCTGTCAGAATTCTGGGGTTGAAAATTTACTTTTTCTACTATTGGATTTGGGGCGGGGTGGCGTTTCAAATCTGCGGAGAAGAGAGTCTGAAAGTAGTGAGGAAAAGAACTCTTAAGACTTGCTTCAGTGCTAGTTGAAACTTAACACTTCATCATTAAATCATTTCATTGCCATTGTAGAGGGCTGGTGTCTCATTTGGGATGAGGTGGGAACGGGGCTCGGCAGCATCCCTAAACCTGTTTGGTTCACCTGCTCTGCTCATGGCTACCTACTGACTTGCCTGGGCTTTCCACTGATGACTGAATCCCTGCCATGCCTGGCGGCGGCGGGGTACTTGTTCCTCCTTCAGATTCCTGAGGCTGTGGATTGCTGTGCTGGTGATCTACCCAACCAACCAGGCTGTCATCGCCCTCACCTTCTCCAACTATGTGTTGCAGCCGCTCTTCCCTACCTGCTTTCCCCCAGAGTCCGGTCTTCGACTCCTTGCTGCCATCTGCTTATGTAAGTGTTGTTTGAGCTTGAATTTTAGGACAATCTCTTTTACCCTCCCAAGTGACCTGCATATTTATGAGCCTCCTTCCTTTCCTCCTTTTTCTTATTTCTTGTCTTTCTTCATTTCACTTCCTACAAATGTGTCTTGAAGGTATGTTTTGTTTTGTATGGGAGAACAGGGGTTTTAACCCAGAACCTTGAACTTATTAAGCAAGTGCTTTACTTTTTGAGCCGTACCTCCTGCCCATACAATTATCTTTTGGATGAATGGTTTCTGTCTACATGCAATTATCTGGTGTAAAAACAAGAAGACACTGGACACTTAGATGGACAATTTAAATTGCAACCCCTTTGTACAACCTTTTATTTATTTTGCTAATTATGGGCCTTGAACTCAGGGACTGGGCACTATCCCTGAGCTTCTTTTGCTCAAGGCTAGTACTCTACCCCTTGAGCCACAGTGCTACTTCCATCTTTTTCTGTTTTATGTGGTACTGAGGAATCAAACCTAAGGCTTCATGTGTGTTAAGCAAGCACTCTACCACTAAGCCACATTCCCACCCCCCCCCCTTGTCCAACCTTTTAAAGTTAAAGAAAATGCAATGAAAATGAAAATTAAAAAACAAAACCCAAGAAGAATCCTAAGTAGCTCCTTGGAAAGTAATTTTCATTGACAGAGATTTTCACATTGAAGCAATTTTACCTTGATTATCTGATTTGAGCTTCATGAGAAATCCATGAGGTAAGGTAGGCCAATATTATCATTTTCCTACAACAAATGAGTAAACATAAATCTATGCAAGTGACTTACCCTAGGAGGCAGGTCCTGTGGGAAATGCTGGGCTTCTGATTCTTTCTCTTTCCAGCACAGCACAGTGTGCTGACTTCTCCCAGCTGATGACCATTACGGCATTACAGTAGTCTGTTTCTACCTCAGCTTGCCAATTCATGTGTGTTTGTGTGTGTGTGCCTGTGCGTGTGTGCATATGCTGGTACTGGGGCTTGAACTCAGGGCCTGGGTGTTATCCCTGGACTATTTTCATTCAAGGCTAGCACTCTCCCACTTGAGCCACAGCTCCACTTCTGGCTTCTTACAGGTTAAGTCGAGATTTTCCTGCCAGCGCTGGCATCTAACAGATCTCAGCCGCCTGAGTAGCTAGCATTACAAGCATGAGGCCACCAAGCACCCGGCTTTAACACATATTTTTAAAACTATCCCAGGAAAGAATTTATTCCTGGCTCGTCCCTACCCTGAAATGAGCTTTTTGAATGTAGGGAAAACCTTGTATACAGATCTTGTGTTTAGGATACAGTCAATTGCAGTTAAAAAAAAAAAAAAATTAGAGAAGGGGAAAGATGGCTGCAATTGGGAACAGGTAGAGATCCTTGATAGAGAAATTCTGCAGAGCCATATTTCTAAGAAGTCTCAGTATGAATCTCTGAGGTCAATGATCTCCTTGGATTGCTATTTGACTTCTTTAATCCAACACTAACTTTTCAAGCAACTTCTTGGATATGTTTCCGAGGCTGTACTTCTAGGGATGCCTCAGCACCTGCCTTCCTGCTCACAGCTTCCAACATGTTACATTAGCTCACGATCAGGACTATCCTTCTGCTCCTTTCCCTCATCCCAGCACTTCCCTTCTGATGGTGGCTGATGGGATGAGGCGGGGAGGACACTCACTCACCTATCCCAGTCCCCCTCCCAGGCAGGCAGCTGAGATGGGAGAAGAAAGGAAAGCGCATTCTCTTAAGCAAGTATGCCCGGGAACAGATCCTACCACCAAGGCAAGTTGTAATGTGGGGCTGAGACCTTTAGGGGAAGAGGCTTTTTTACGTGTGTCTAATGAAAGGCAAAAGGATGTAAGTCCCCAGGCTGTCCAAACCTGCACCTCCACTTTATGCATTCTAATTGTAGTGCTTGGCTGAGTTACTGCTTATTCCATTGTGTGATGGGGTTGTAACTTGTAACCCTATGTCTAGGGAAGGAATGACTGAAAAGATTTCTAGAAAGAAGGAACAAGATCCCCTAGGCACAGAATTCAACACCTAGTGCCTGATCATGTCAGTCTGGAGGTGGGCTGGGATATTGGGACCACTAGGTCCTTGCTTTCTTGCTGGATCCAGAGCTGGGGGGAGAGGAGGAAGGAGGGTGTGGGAGTGCAGGAAAGGTTGTTTCTGCCATCAGACAAACTATTGGGAAGGAAGAGGAAGCACATGAGTGCTGGCCACTGCTGTTTCAGTGTCTTATGCACATAGCTTCCTTTTCCTGCTGATGCTGCTGAAGTGTCTCAGACTAGAGGCCCTCTTTTCTTCCTGCTATAGTCAAGAAAGCCTAAGGCTGTCAGGCTAGTGTGGTTCATGCCTGTAATCCTAGCTACTCAGGAGGCTGAGATCTGAGGATTTCTAGCCAGTCCAGCCAGGAAAGTCATAACATTTTTTATCTCCAATTAACCACCAAAAAGCCCTAAGTAGAGCTATCAGAGAGTGCTAGCCTTGACCAAAATAGTTAATGGACAGTACTCAGGCCCTAAATTCAAACCCTAGTACCTGTGTGCACAGGTGCCACAGTGTGGAAGTTCCTTTGTATTCGCAAAATCTGCCTCCTGCACAAAGCTGGTCCTGGAGTAGTTTTCCTGAGCTTCCCCTGGGACAGAATGGTCCGAACCTTCCCAGGAGATGAGAGTCAATCCTTGCTGACCAGCACCAGAAATGAAGCTTGCACAATGTGCTTTGTAGATACCTCTCACCTAATTTGCACAATCAATGAATCAATCAATCAATAAATAAAGATGAACAACTCAATTCCTTTTTTCTTTTCCTTTTTTTGGGGGCCTGGGCTCTGTCCCTGAGCCTCTCTGTGCTCAAGGCTAGCACTCTAGCCGGGCGCAGGTGGCTCTGCCTGTAATCCTAGCTACTCAGGAGGCTTAGATCTGAGGATCGCGGTTCAAAGCCAGCTCAAGCAGGAAAATCCAAGAAACTCTTATCTCCAATAAACCACCAGAAAACTGGAAGTTGTGCTATAGCTCAAGTGGTAGAATGCTAGTAGAGTGCTACCCTTGAGCTGAAGAGCTGAGGGACAGTGCTCAGACCCAGAGTTCAAGCCCCATGTCCAACAACAACAACAACAAAAGGCTAGCAATCTACCTTAAGCCATAGTGCCACTTCCATCTTTTTCTGTTGTATGTGGTACTGAGGAATCCAACCCAGGGCTGCATGCATGTTAGGCAAACACTCTACCATTAAACCACATTCTCAGCCCTGGATTTTTTTTTTTGGTCAGTCATGGGTCTTGAACTCTGGGCCTGGACGCTGCCCCTCAGCTCTTCAGCTCAAGGGTAGCACTCTATTACTTGAGCCATAGCGCCACTTCCAGTTTTCTGAGTGGTTTATTGGAGATAAACTTTCCTGCCTGGGCTGGCTTTGAACCACAATCCTCAGATATCAACCTCCTGAGTAGTTAGGATTACAGGTGTGAGCCACCAATGCCCTGCCCTGGATATATTTTGTTGTAAGCTATCTATAGCTCCCTCAAATTATGTCTCTCAAGGGAGCCAGTAAAATGGAAAGCAGGCTGTCAAAAAGTCTTGGTTTTGCCAGGTACCTGTGGCTCACACCTGTAATCCTAGCTACTGTGGAGGCTCAAGGTTCAAAGCCACCAATGCTTGAAAGTACATGAGACTCTTATCTCCAATAAACTACCAAAAAAATCTGAAAGTGGACTATGGCTTAAGTGATAGAGTGCTATCCTTGAGCAAAAGAATCAGAGACAACACCCAGACTCTGAGTTCAAGCCCCAGGACCGGAAAAAGAAGGAAGGAAGAAAGGAAGAAGGAAGCAAGGAAGGAAGGAAAGAAGAGAAATTTTTTTTAAAAGAAAGGAGAAAATACTCTTTTTCTTTCTGTTTTTTTTTCTTCTTTATTTGGGGACAAAAAAAAGAAAGTCATTCTTTGTAGCCCAAATGAGCACCCCTCCCAACCACCCACTCCTACCATCCTCCAGTCCACCCCTTATAGGTGTCTGGTAAGCCAGCGGCATAAAATATGTCTTTGGAGATAAAGCCAGGAGCCACCCAGCCTGGCCTTAGACTTGAGAGAGAAGCAGCAGAAAGCTGGGCATGATGTGAGTGTGTGTGTGTGTGTGTGTGTGTGTGTGTGTGTGTGTGTGTGTGTGTGTATAGGAAACTGATTTCCGCTGTCTCATTGTGGCAGGCTGGTGATGGGATGATAGATTTTGAAGAAAGGCTGCCCTTTGTGGAAAGGTCACTGGTGTAAAATGCAGAGGCCCAGAGGACAGGGCACGGAGCCCAGGGTATGGCAAAGCCCAGGTTGCCTAAGGGTAGGGTTTGCTGTGGAGGGAGGAGATGAGGTCAAGTCTAGTTCTGTGGTGGGGCAGTTTTGGAAGCTATCAGATGAGAAATTAAGTTTGGATGAGCCAGATGGTTGGGAGGTGGAGAGGCAGAAAAACCTGCTGTAACTAGCTTGCCTGGCCCGGAGGGAGCCTTGAGGGAGGGGGGAGGGAGAGAGAAGGGGGAGAAAGGGAGAAGGAGAGGGAGAGGGAGAGAAGGAAGGAGAGGGAGGAACTGCACATTTGGATTTGCTTGTGCAAATGAAGCCACCACTGTGAGTTCTTTTATTATTTAGGTCAAAGCTGATTATTCACTGCTGAGTCAGCAGATTATTCCTGGCCACCAGGCAGTATTAAATGAAAAACCTTTTTCCTTTCTCCAGAGCAAGCATATTCATGGGAGGGAGTTAGGAAAGGAAACCTGAAGGTGTTAGAACTTAGTTTTGGCGCCTCTTTTTGTGATTTATTGGCTATTTCTCCTTTTTATTGTCTCATAAATAAATGACTATATTCTGCACATAAAAGAATCCAGTAAGACATAAAAAGAGTCAACAGGCCAGTTTCTGTGGCTCACACCTGTAAATCCTAACTACTAAGTAGGCTAGGATCTGAAGATTTGGGTCCAAAGCCAGTCTGGGCAGGAAAGTCTATGAGACTCTTAT